CTACTGTACCTACTACAGAGTTAAATTCACTGAAAATGAGGCAAAGGATTACTTTTATTTTTTGGGGGGGAGCGCAGATTTAGGATGCCATGGTTAACTGACAAAACGCCCCCAGTTCTTCCTTGTATGGACCCCCTTTTCAATATGACTTTGTAACTTCTCTCATCAAGAGGCGGAGCCTGTTTTCCACCCATGAACTGGAGGTTGACTTTTTAAATACATTTTGGCCAAAAGAACTGCTGTAGCTTTAACAGTGCACAATCCAAGCGTAGAACTCAAGAGGCCTTTGATGCTTCAGCTCCCTCTCCTGGACCCCTCACTGTCATGGGAACAGGCCAGGCTAGCTTGCTAGAGGTACAGAGGCCTCAGCCAAGGCCATCCTGGAGCAGCCACCTTCCAGACAATCCAGCAGTCGACCACAAACACCTGAGTAAGCCGAGAGGGCTCAGTCAAGCCCAGCCTGGATTGGCAGAATCGTCCTTGTGAGCTGTAGACTCAGAAGGACAATATATTGTTTCAAGGTAGTGGTTCTCATTGTTTTTTAGGGTCACCTGGGATCTCTACCACCTTTTTATGAGGAACTAAAAGATCAAAACTACTTTGATAATTATATTAAGACGTTGTTTTTTAAATTCTTACTCTGTCAAGAGTATACAGAGTGTATACAGAGTATACAGTTTTCCAAAGGCTTCATAATGTTTGATGGCAAAACAGCGTGAATACAGGAGCAGAAATGAGACCCCCCCCACACTGAAGAGACTAGCAAAAATGAAAAACAGGATTATTCTTCTCACTAAACTTTGCTTTGTTTAGAAAATGCAGTTATTTTTCATGAAAATATGTTATATATAAGTAATAGTTTATTATTAATGTTAAAGGAAATGACTATCTTAAAATGTATATATTTTTAATATAAAGTGCATATAAACAAACCTTTTTTGAGTCCAAAATAATTTTTAGGGAAGTAAAGCATTCTGAGAACAAAAAGTCTGAGAACTGCTATTCTCATGACGATGAAGAAATTAATAAAATGTAGCAGTTCTCAGACTTTTTCAAGTTAAAAAATTACTATGCTTTGTCCCTCAGGACATATACCCTCTAGCATATTATGCAATTCTAAAGCCTTAAGATCCACAGACTGTGGATATATGTACTTTCATTTCTTGAATAATATTGTTATTCTCAGCCTTATTATTTTATATTTGAAAAACTGGGCTTATTCACTTCCTAAAACTTAGATCAATACTTATTTAACTAATCTGTAGGCAAATATTTACTTGCTGATTTTATACAAAGCAATTATTTCCATGGAACATAGAAATATAGAAGCTGAGAATTTTAACTAACAGAGCATCCATTCAAGGTTTTGCCAAATTTAGCTCGAGGTTGAAGGTTGAAGAATTCCATTGGAATTGTGATAACGATGCACTTGGGGAGATTAAGTTGCTCATAAATTTTATTCTACGAAGGTCAGAACTAAGGATTTTGAACTGGAAATGCTTCCCTACTCTAATGTTAGGTTAAGAAATGAAATTTAAAAAGAGAATAACTGCTCAATTCCTGAGAAGTCCATATTTATCAAAAGTGGCAGACAGGTCCTATGGGATCAAGCATCTGTTGTAATGAAAGGATTATAAGGAGTTAGACTTTTCTGTGGGCTAATACTGCATATACTGTAATGCACAATAGCTCACCAACATATATGAAGCTGGATAATTCGACTGTATTTGAATAAAATAGCCTCTTTAGCGCAGTATTTTGTTATTAACTCTTTGGTTTAGCCTTAGATAGGTAGAGTAGTGGAAATGTAGGAAGTAGAAAATGTAATTAAAGAGCCTGACCCTTCAATGCACTGAAAGGAAAAGTGAACCACACACACTACAAATATTTGAGAATACCCAAGTTACTGTGAATTTTAATTGCTACTAGACACTGCTGAAAAGTGAAAATTAAAAAATAAAAGAGCTTATGAAAAGGAACTCAGTACCGATGGATTGGAATTTATGGATGAAAATCTTCTTCTTCCCTCAAAACCCAGCTTGTTATAATTTGAATGTTTTTGTAATGTCATTTTCATATTATCTTAAAAAAAGAAGAATAACATGTGTTGTATTTAAAGTAAAAAATACTGGATTTTATATTAAAATATAGTACATGGATATTATAATACTATTTTCTACAAATAAATCTGGCTGATTTAAACCAGTGTGGAAGTGGCAGCCTCCAAAGGGAGTAAACAGAAGTTTTTGAAATGTTTATACTGGAAAATGCCAACGACAGCTGTTTTATATACATATCTTTCATATGAGTAAAAAGAATAAAAAACTTGAGTACTTGCCCTGTCTAATTTTAACCCTCTTTTCCAACAACCATATGGGTAACTTCATTAGAGAGCCTGCATGGACATTTTATGAATTGCTCGTTTACTTAAACAGTAAGCATTAATGGTAATTACAAGAATTCTAAAGGCTATAAAATTAATATTGCATGTTTGGGAGTCTAAAAGATTAGAAGAGGAACCCACATTATGTTTTGGGTTTTTTTGGGGGAGTGGTTTCTTCAAAAGCAGAATCACAGACTACCCCCCTTTTCGCTGTTGACAGGGCTTAACAGTTTAGTAAGATTAATGTGATAAAGTCTCTGCTTCAGGGAAGAGAAAGAAGTAACAGAAGCATAACAGAATCATGGAAGGACAAGGCTGGAGAATTGCAGAGGCAGGACATTAGTTTGGAATAAAGTTTTAGCAGAGGTCAGCTATTTAAGTTGAGTCAAAAGAGAAAAATACCACTGTCTACACTGTCTGTGAAATAGAAATAATTCACAATTAGCATCTTTAATAGACCCCCAACACTTGATCTTCTGCTTCAAATCAGTCTACTGGATCTATATACCCAGAGTAAACTTCCTGATGAAAAGATGAAAATGGTTAAATAAAATTATGTATACAAATAAACGTATGCACTTTCTAAGAATCTTGGATCTCATATGAAAGGAAGAAATCTGAAAATACTAAGATCAAAGTAAACGCAGAAACCCTGAGAGGTATCACCAAAGCCAGCTTTCAACACGAGAACTTCTAGAGATCTTTGGAAAGCCTGAGCTTCCCTTTTGACTGCCTCATGAAGACAGAGTGAAAAATATAGTAGACGATCCCTCCCACAAAATGAGACATAAGCCTCATGGGGGAAAAGGGTCTGAAAGGCAATATATTACCAAATTGGTCCTCATCACAGATCTGAAATCTACATTCATGCTATTTGAAAGCATTTAGTTTGAAAACAAAGCATTTAGTTTAAAAGTGGTCCTGGGTTGATAGTGCCCCTGGATGACTGGTAGAAGCAAATACTTTAAGAATGGATCTCCCAAGTCTGGCCTTAAAGAATTTTCATCAGTAACATTCCACATGTATGAGATTATAGTCAAAACAAAAACACAAAGGGAAAATAAGATTTCACAAGTGAAACAACAGGAAATGAAAGTGCAATCAGAACCAGAAAATTAAAACAGAGTTTCAACTGAAAATAAGAGCAAGAAAAAGGGACTATTAAATTTGTAAAAGACTCAAATGGAATTTTGTAACCCCCAAATTATAAAAATTAAAAGAATAAAAAGATTAATTTAAAATAAGTCACAAATATACACATTGTAACCGACTGTACTTCAATATAAACAAACAAACAAACAAACAAACAAATAAATAAATAAAATATGGGGAGGATGGGAAAGGACCAGAATATACTATAATGAATGTCAAATCAGTGGTTCCAATTATTAGTATAGAAACAAAATATCAAGAGGTATAAAGTAGTGATACAGTACTGTTACTAACAATCCTATTATGCTTTAGTTGACTTTTTTCAATAAAATCTATTATATACTAAAAAAAATAGTTATAAATACACATCAAATCAGTGAACTGGATATGGATTCCAAGAACATAGTATTAAGAAACTATGAAATAATTTGAAAAAAACTTAGGAGACATGAAAAATAGAGAAAAATGAAAGAAGTCACACTTAAAGGAGATAATGACTGAGGAGTTCTAGAAATGCTGGAAGACATCTATCCTCAGAATCAGGAAGGCCAGCAAATCTAAAGTGGGATACATAAAAACTACACATATCATAACCAGCTTCAGAACACCAAGGATCAAGAGGAGATTTTAAAAGCAGTCAAGGAGAAATAGCAAATTACCTACACAGGTATAGCAACTAGACAGACAATGGACTTCCCATTGATAAATGGAACCCAGAAAACAATAGAATCAAATCTTTAACGGTATCAGAAAAATCCCTGGCAATGGAGACTCACAGTCCAAAGAAATTAATTTTCAGGAACAAGATAAAAATAGAAATGCTTTCAGATAAAGAAAAACAGTGAAATCTTCATTAAAGGAAAGTCTAACGGACATACTTGAAGCAGGTAGATAAGGTAGACAATCTAATGAGACAGCATGGTGGAAAAAAGTGGTAAATATGTGAGTAAATCGAATATAACACTAATTTATAATACAACAACAATTCCTAACTCTTGGAATAATAGAGCAAAAATACCCACAGTATTAACAGAAAAATGGCTCATGGTAATTAAAGCAGTCAATATAGTTTATTTTAGGATGAAGTTAAAGACATTGACATGACTCTCATATATGTATTCATTTGCACTGGGAGATATCTTAATTGTATTAGTTGTAAAGGTTATTTTTGTTCTATGACTTGCTTTCTTCTCCTAGCATCAATAACATTTCCAAGTTTTAATCAAAATATCAAGTTACATGCTTTGACAAACTCAGAAATTTCCAATAAATATCCTTTAGAGTTTACAGTGAAAGTAGTACTGTTGAATAAATAGGACTTATGTATATAAAACTAATGAGAAAACACTCTCAGTCTGGGTGTATGCAACTATCCTAAGACAATCTGATTTATGGGATGTCTTTGCTGATATATAAAAAACTTATTATAGCCCCTCAAAACACTGTGAATGACACCCAAACTCACCTTAAGAAAGAAGTTTTCATAATCTGTTCTGTGCAGAAAATGTTGATACACTGGAAAAAAGAAAGTCCAACATGACTAATACAATCCTCTGTTTTTATTATTAATAAAAATAAAATTAAAAATTTCTAGAAAATTTGTTATTCCCATGCAATCGTATTATACTCATGTAAAGGTTTTCAACATTCAAGAGATTGTTCCTGCTATAACATTATAAATTCATTTCCTGGAACAGAGTTTGCTATTGAATGTCTGCCAGGCTATGTTAACAAGGGTATTCAGAGGAAAACTGTGTACCTATAACACAACAAATACATGAAGAAAAATCTCTAGTAATGTCTTTAAAGTCATGTGCATATTCTTTAAGCAAAGAGAGTTTAAATAATAAATATTTTGTTACGTTGCACTGCTTTTCTCCACTGAACTTATAAGTACTATTTATATTTTTGAATATTTAGTGCTTTCTGCATTCTTTAGGTACCTCTAGGAGCCAATAATGTTATTTCCTGAAGTTTGATGCTATAGAAACATTTATTCTTTTAGACAATGTTTAGTTGTGAAAATTCCTATGTTCTTGAGGCACAGATTTCTCTGCCTTTCCTGACATCTCTATTCGCTTTTTCCATCTCTACTTAGATGTGCTGTGGTCAGCTTCTGTGGTCAACAACACCTGCACTGGGATTTCTGTATTTTTCTTCTATTTTTTTTTTCTTTTGTGGCTTCTGCATATAGCAAGAATAGTTGCAATTGAAGATTGATATTTTAAAATGTTAGTAGTCATTTTAGAATTCTCATTTCAAATAAATTCATTTCTCAATATGGAGCTATTATCATTACAGCTAATTGGTTATATCTCAGCACAGAGAGGGCAGCATCGACAGTCATCAGCGTGGGACAGAAAGGAGGTAGGGCTTAAGAAGGCCTAGCTATAGATTCCAAAGAATTTGGTACACAGAAGGCTGTAGTAATAATAAGTTGAATTCTATGCAAGCTTTAGAATTGGTTACAGCAGGGCATTTGGTTTATGTTTTCAAACTTATGAATGGAACATATTAATAAACGAGTTCCAGATGCTGGAGGTGATCATCAGATGATCAGGCAACCATGAAAGAAACAGCATGCTTGACGACCAGGTGTCCTGTGATGGACCTATGTCTTCTGAGTCTTTTAACTTACTAGCGTCATGAAATTAAACATATTTCAAGATATGTTTTAACAAAAGATCTGATTTTTTTGCAATGTGTTGATGAAGTTTCTAAAAGGCTGATTAACAAAATGGAATCTGCTGATTTATCCTTGTATGCATATCACCAACAAGAGACTTAAACATACACTGTAAGCACAAGATCTTAGGAACTCACTAGTGCTCTATAAGGATTGTATCTGGACTATCATTGTGCATGTATTCATCATAGGGGTGTACCAGAGAAAAGATACATGAAACAAAATTTTTAATTAAGTAAAGGGTAATTAAGCAAAGATAAATTTCTCTGACTGTATTATCATATACTTTCTTTCAATAAATATTATTTTGATATAAAAACAGAACTATTATTATAAGAATTTTTCCTATTTAGGTAGAGAAATAAAGAGTACAGATGAAAACGGATGCTTTATTTTTCTGATTATTAAGACTTAGCATATTAAATAGCACTTTCAATATGTTTTAAATTTTAGTAGACATGATTTAGTTGTATTTACTTTCATTTTTTGGTGATTACCTACTTTTTGAGGCATTACTATGAGCAATGGTTAGTTTTATATACTTCTGTTCTTTAGCATGATTAAAAGCATTGTGAATCATGCTACAATTATGTTAACATAAAAAGTTTAAAGAATTTTAAAAACAGTTGCTTAATAAAATTATTTTATTATTTTTAATAAATTTCCAACATTTAAACTTTATTCAAATGTTTAACATAGATAATTAAATTTATAATATATAAATATGTTTATATATATATAATTACTCAGTTTGCCATAATAAGAATGAATATGAATCAATTATGAATGAATCAAAAATTTCTATGATCTTTAAATTTTATAAGTGTAAACTTTGTTTCTGTAAAAAATGAAAACATATGTTGAAAAAAATCTTAGGACAATGGTAATTGACTAAGCATTCTACAAAGAAATATAAAGCTAAAGACAATTATACATGTTTAATAACTATGGAAGGACTGTCAAGATAAAATCTCAGCAAGTGAAAAATATCTGTAACAATTACTTTTCTGAAGAATACAGAGCCCTTCCTTAATGACATATATTTGAATACACATTAAAAAGATCCCTAATTTTTTGGATAAATGAATTGCTTCAATCACATGCCAGCTATTATAATATTGTGCATTAAGTTAAATATAGTAAGAAGTGTGTACTTTCTATGTTATACTCAAGCAGTTTCCTTCCTGAGCACATGAGCAGCTTCCAGAATCAAATCAAATCCACTACATCACTCAGTGAAATTTACTGCAGATAAGGAACACAAAACATGAGAGAAAATGAAAGACAGAAATATTACCTTTCTCAAAAAATCTATGCTCATTTGACTCTTAAATCATGTATTATTTTCCCTTCATATCATTCTTGATGGGACTCTTACAAAAAAAAAAGGGTTAAACTGCCTGCGCTTCACTGTCAAGAGAAACCTATGGTCAGGGGGCTATCTAATTCCCACAGCTTTCATCATTAATATTTTATGATTCTCACTGATCTGTCCTATCTGGAAGAAAAATTTATCTTCCATTTGTGCAAGCACTACCTGCTGAGTAATAGATTTCATCTCTGTAAGCTGAGTGGTGAAATGCAAACGGCAGCAAAGGAAATAAGAGGCAAATTGTTCTTTTATTGGAGTCTGACTGCACTTTACTGGAGTTGCGGAGTCAGCCAAGCAAAGTGAAAGATCCTTGGGGAACCAGGAATAGTGTTAGTTCCGTGATAACATACTTTGGCCTGCACATGTTAATGCCCACATGTTTAAGCTGACTTCTAAATGAGATGAGTAGCTATGGTGACGTTTTTAACTGGAACATTTTTGAAGGAAGCTTGGGGCCTACAACATTGGAAAATCATTAGCTCAACCTTGAAAACTGCCTTCACTATAGATGAGATAACTAAAAGGCAAATTAATGATCTTCAGACACTTAAAACTGAAAAGGTAGGGTATTTTGCCCCTTGATTGAGTATGGCTTGCCTTTCTTGAACTTAAGATGCCATCTAAGTAGACTCACCTATGACACTGGAGCTGAGCATTCCCTGGGCAGAATTCATCCACAGAAACATGAAACAGAGAAAGAGGGTCCAGGACCTCCTTCCACAGTCAAACACATACTGGTTGTCACCTAGACCACAGGTGCATCTAGACTTACAGGAAGTAGAGTATTATTCTCACATGTGGTTGTAAAGATACCTTCTGGAGAAATATATTTAGTGCATGATCAGGAAAAAAAAATCTTGGTTTCAAATGAGTATTGTCCTTTGCTAGAGAATATAGAATTCAAAACTCTATGAAACAATTGTTTCTTTTCTTCAGAGCTCTTATCTCATGTTTTAATCATATATTAAGTAGTGTGATTATTTAACATCGTTCTGATCTCTTAGAACATAAATCAGATCCTGTTTATTTTCATGGACAATTGTATCCCTGGAGTCTTGTACACGATTGGCAAGCAGTAGGTGTTCAACCAGTTTTTGGTAAAATATGTGCTTTTTAAAAAAAATTCATCAGTGTCAACTAGCATGTTTTATATAATAATAATGTTTGTGGCAAGAGTGATGATTATTCAAACTACAGCTACTGATCATAAATTTACAGAAAGCACTGTGTTAGAAATGGGGTGACACTAGAATGTCTAAGATTAATTTCTGGGCCTCAAAGAGTTGACTATCTAGTTGAGGGACTAGGCACCTCAACTGTAAAAATTATACAAAATATGAAATATTAAGTGACAAGAGAACATATTAGATCTAATTGTACACAAGTATTAGACAAACAGAAATCAAAAGACATCCTGATTAAAAAAAAACCACATGGGTAAATAATTGGAATCGAGGGAATATAAACCACAAAGCATAAATTATGTTGCTAGGAATGAAATTATGTTTCTACGAATGAAACAGCTTAGAATGACTGACAAGAGAACACTACCCGGTCTATAAGACCCACCTAACCCAGTTTTCTCATTAATTTGTGTATTTAATTTTTGTAGTAGAAACATACATGATTCCCATAAACTGAAAGGACCCACTTTCAACACTCATGCTAATATAATACTACCAGAACCATAGGAGAGTGTTTCTTTTTTCACACTCTAGTTGGCAACTGAGTGCTTTAAGCCTTAAGTCTTTGCCAAGCTAACATGGGTGGGGACAGAAGGAGAACTGTCTCTTGTTTGTATTTGATCTTTATTTGTGATTTAAGTATGTTTTCATATCTTTTTTCTCCTATCTCCAAACTTCAGCCCTTTTCTCATTCCTCTGTCCCTAATTTTTTTTTTTTTTTTTTTTTTTGCCTAACTCCTGAGAATCCTCATCCAGGATGGACAAATGGGAGTGGAGTAGATAGTCATTTTTAGAGAAAAATGACCATTTGTAGATATTCTCTGGCTAAGCAAAATAGTTGCTAGTTGTTGACCATCAGTGAGTTTGCTATACTAGTCACTAGTTTCAACAAATAATTTTTTTTTCCTTAAAATTATTTCAGGCATACTTCTGGCTAATTTAAATTAAATCATTTAAGCCTTTGTTCTGCCAATAACTCATTAGCTCCTTTATGCTATATCTATTCTTAGTTGAATTTGATGTCAGTTTGTGAAAACTATTAATTTAACCAATAAAGTATGCAGTATAAAAAAAGAATAATCTATTTAAAACAATATTATAAAATTAGAAGTTAAATAAGAAAATACAACATGCCAAGATTGGGGAAAATCTCCAGAGTTCCTTGATTTTAAAATCAAAGTAGTTTTCCTTAAAGCTAATATCCAACTAATTAGATTTAAATCATCTTATTTAAAAGAAGAACATCCTTTACATTCCCTAAACCTTGAA